ATTTTTCAGGCCCCCCCTCAAAACAATGGTTAAGGGGGTGGGGATGTTATGCATTTCGCTGCACAGGCGCAGGGTTTCGTGAAAGTGACACGTTTGTGTCGGTATTCCATTGGATTAGCGTTTGGAGAGTCGTGTTTTTGGGGTGTTGGATGTGGCCGTGCCATTGGGGTTTGCGTTTCAGGGTGTGGCTATTTTCGTGACAAGTCTCAGCTGAAGTGGTGATTTTGGTGGATTGTGCTCAGAATGGGCCGAAATCATTCCGAACGTGTGGTGTGGTGCAAATTTTGTTGAAGCTCACATGAGATGACATTGTCACTTTTCGTGGCAGGCGCAGTACTTTGTGCGGGTTTTGAGGTGTGGAAGTGCGATTTTCGTGGCAGGCGCAGGGAATCGTGAGGTTGCGATGTGTGACGGAGGTGACATTTCGTGGCAGGCGCAGTACTTTGTGCGCGTTAGACGTGCGGACGTGGAAAGATTCGTGGCGGGCGCAGGGAATCGTGAGGTTGTGAGTTGTGGTAGAGGCGAATGTCGCTGTGACATTGGGATTGGCGTGTGAGCGGGTGTTGTTTGGAGGGGCTGGAATCGCGAAGCTGCTTGGCAGGGCTGCGCGATGGGTGTGCTCCGATGGGTGTTTCCGCTTGACTTTGGGAGGAAGTCTCGTACGAAACGCTCGTTTTGCAGACTTTGACATCTGAGTTTTTGAGGAAGTCTCGTACGAAACGCTCGTTTTGGAGCCATGACGTGTGACTTTTGGAGGAAGTCTCGTACGAAACGGTCGTTTTGGAGACTTGACGTGTGACTTTTGGAGGAAGTCTCGTACGAAACGCTCGTTTTGGAGACTTGACGTCTGAAAGTGACATACCTGGCAGGACTTTGTCTGTGTTACACTTTCTAGCAAAATGTCTCGCAAAGAGTGTCAAGAAAGAGTGTCTAGCAAGAGTGTCTAGCAGAATGTCATTTCAAGAGTGTCCAGCAAGAGTGTCTAGCAGAGTGTCCTGCCCAGCAAGAGTGTCTAGCAAATAGTGTCCAGCGAGAGTGTCTAGCAGAGTGTCACGCAAGAGTGTCTAGCAAAGAGTGCCCAGCAAGAGTGCCAAGCAAGAGTGTCAAGCAAGAGTGTCTAGCAAAGAGTGTCCAGCAAAGAGTGTCAAGAAAGATTGTCTAGCAAAGAGTGTCAAGAAAGAGCGTCCAGCAAGAGTGTCCAGCAAGAGTGTCTAGCAGAGTGTCAAGCAAGAGTGTCCAGCAAGAGTGTCAAGAGAAAGTGTTAAGAAAGATTGTCTTGTCAAAGAGTGTCAAGAAAGAGTGTCAAGCAAGATTGTCGTGTCAAGAGTGTCCAGCAAAGAGTGTCAAGAAAGAGTGTCGAGCAAGAGTGTCGTGTCAAGAGTGTCCAGCAAGAGTGTCCAGCAAGAGTGTCTAGCAGAGTGTCAAGAAAGAGTGTCAAGAAAGCAAAGAGTGTCAAGAAAGAGTGTCACGCAAGAGTGTCCAGCAAGAATGTCTAGCAAAGAGTGTCCAGCAAGAG